CCAGACCGTCAAATTCCCGACTCGCGAAGGGGTCGGGGAAGTCACCGGAAGCCCCCAAGAATCCAGGCGCTGCTACCTTACCTCCGTCTCGTTGGGCAAAAGAGTCAGGGGAGAGGCGCCCCTAGAAGATCCCCGGGAAACAAAGAAGTCGGCCCCTCACCCTGGGCCGGGGGGATCCACTGTGGACATCCCTTTGCGGGAAGCACGACCGGATCAGACGGTCAAGGTCAGGTCGGAGCTACCCGAGCGGGAACGAAAGCAGCTCGTCGGTCTTCTACGGGAGAACGCCGACATCTTCGCCTGGTCCCCATCGGACATGAGGGGAGTCAACCCGGAGGTCGCGGAGCATCATCTCAATATCCCACTTGACGTTCGCCCGGTGAGGCAAAAGCCCCGGCGATACGCACCTGACCGACAACGCGCCATACAAGAGGAGGTGGACCGACTCTTGGCGGCAAACTTCATAGAAGAAGCCAAGTATCCTCGGTGGTTGTCCAATGTAGTCCTCGTGAAAAAACACAATGGAAGCTGGAGGATGTGCGTTGACTACACTAGTCTTAACAGTGCATGTCCTAAAGACTGCTATCCCCTCCCGAGGATCGACCAGCTGGTCGACGCGACAGCGGGGCACGCACACCTCTCTTTCATGGACGCCTATTCAGGGTACAACCAGATCAGGATGGCGCCCGAAGACAGGGAGCACACGGCTTTCCTCACCGATCAAGGGATATACTTCTACAAGGTCATGCCGTTCGGATTGAAAAATGCTGGAGCCACATACCAGAGGACGGTAAATAAGATGTTTGCCCATCAAATCGGGAGGAACATGGAAGTCTACGTCAACGACATGATTGTGAAAAGCAGAGAGGCCGGAACGCACCTCGTCGACCTAGCCGAGGCCTTCGCCACGCTACGCAAGTTCGGCATGCGGCTCAACCCCGCAAAGTGCGCTTTCGGCGTCACCTCTGGGAAGTTCCTAGAGTTCATTGTGCACCAGAGAGGGATCGATGCCAACCCGGCGTCACATCGGCAATAATCGATATGCAGTCCCCCTGGACGGTTAAGGACCTGCAGCGACTCAATGGAAGACTCGTCGCCCTGTCTCGCTTCCTCGCCCGATCGGGCGATCGCTGCCTCCCATTCTTCAAAGCGCTCAAAGACCCGAGGAACTTCCAACGGACATCGGAATGTGAGGAGGCTTTGAAGAAGATGAAGCGGCACCTGGCCAGCCTCCCTCGGCTCGCCTCTGTCTTCCCCGGCGAGAAACTGGGGCTCTACTTGGCGGCCTCCCCGCGTGCGGTCAGCTCCGTCCTTGTCAAGGAAAGCTCCGGTCCACAACTCCCGATCTACTATGTCAGCCATGTCCTCAGTGGACCCGAAGAACGCTACCCGCCGATAGAAAAGCTCGCACTCGCCCTGGTGCTCTCGGCCCGAAAATTACGCCCTTACTTCCAGGCGCACTCGGTGGAAGTCATCACCGACCAGCCTCTCCGCCAGGTCTTAACAAAGTTCGATGTTGCAGGTAGGCTCCTCCGATGGGCGGTGGAGCTCAGTGAGCATGATATCAGCTACGTTCCCAGAACCGCCATCAAGGCCCAAGCGGTAGCCGACTTCGTCGCGGAATTGGCCCAGATGGATGGAGATCCCGGACAAACCCCCGAAGCTTGGACCCTACATGTGGACGGCTCGGCCAACTCAAGGGGTGCCGGAGCGGGGCTGGTCCTTCTCGCCCCCGACGGGCGCTCGTTCAAGCGTTCCCTTCGCTTCGGGTTCAAAGCCACGAATAACGAGGCGGAATACGAGGCACTCCTAGCAGGATTGAGGCTGGCCCTCGAGATGCAGGTGGCCGCAATACACGTCCTCACCGACTCGCAACTTGTGGCCGAACAGATCAATGGCGGATATGAAGCTTGGGACGCAACCATGGCCAAATACCTGGCACGGGTAAGGGACCTTTCCGCGAGATTCCCTTACTTCACATTATCTAATGTCCCGAGGGAGGAAAACGGGAGAGCTGATGCGCTCGCTAAACGGGCGTCGAGACAAGCCCCCGAAGCAGGGCCGAGGATTGAGGAACTCCCCGCTCGCACCATTGAGGTAGCAACAACGGCCCCAGGAGGCCCGCCGACCACGTGGGTACAGGAGCTGCTGCGCTTCAAGCGGGACGAAACCCTCCCCCTCGACGAAGTCGCGGCTCGGCGTCTGCGCCGCACACACGCGTGGTACGCCGAGGAGAGTGGTCGACTTTACAAACGGTCCTTCACCCATCCCCTCCTGCGATGCTTGGAGCCCGACGAAGCGAGGACAGTCCTGGCTGAAACCCACGAGGGGGCCTGTGGCGAACACATCGGCGGGCGAACCTTGGCGCACAAGATACTTCGCCAAGGCTACTACTGGCCAACAATGTGCCAGGATGCGAAAGCTTACGTGCAGTGGTGCGGTTCGTGCCAGCAACACTCCCGCGCACCCCGGCAGCCCTCGGTCCCGCTCTGCCCCATCGACTGTGCATGGCCGTTTGCCCAGTGGGGGCTGGACATTCTCGGCCCCTTCCCACCGGCTCTTGGACAGCGTAAGTACATAATTGTGGGAGTAGACTACTTCACAAAGTGGGTCGAGGCCGAACCACTGGCAACGATCACGGAGCATCAGGTGGAGAAATTCGTGTGGAAGAATCTAGTAACTCGGTTCGGATTGCCCAAGACCATTATCACCGACAACGGACCTCAGTTCACAGGCACTAGGTTCCGAGAATTCTGCGCCGGTCATAGCATTCAACTGAGGTTCAGTTCGGTGGCCCACCCTCAGATGAATGGATTGGCCGAAGTAACCAACCGTTCCATCCTGGACGACCTCAAGAGAAGAGTGTCTGCGGCCCGATCGACCTGGACGGACGAGCTCCCTAGTGTGTTATGGTCGCTGCGCACCACCCCCAAGACGGCGACCGGGGAGTCCCCATACAGCTTGACGTTCGGAACCGAGGCCGTCCTACCGCCCGAGGCAGCAGTCGCCACACTTCGGACGTGGAGCTACGAAGAGGAAGCCTCGAACCAGGGACTTCGCGCCAACCTCAACATGCTCGAGGAGCGACGCGCCGACGCGCACCTAAAAGCCCTCTCTCACCAGAGAGCCATCGCCCGGATCTACAACAGAAAGGTGCGACCCCGACCGATCAAGCTAGGCGATCTAGTCCTACGAAGGGCCGAGGTCAGCGACCCGACCCGAACGAAGGGGAAGCTGGCGCCCAAATGGGAAGGACCATATCGGGTCACCGACGTGGTCCGACCAGGCACCTATCGCCTCACCGCCATGGACGGCGCCCCCCTGCCAAGGACGTGGAACATCCAAAACCTCAAAAAGTTCTTTGTTTAAGGTCAGAACCCGTGGAAACCCCTTCCAGGTCGAAACTGTGCGATTTCCGAGGCTCAAAGACATTGGAGGACCTCTTCATTTCTGAAGCATGAAAATACAAGACTCAACTTACGGAATGAAAAGACGCACTGGAAGAAGATTCCTTTATTTGCGAAATACGGGACTACAATAGCGACTTGACCCGAAGACTGCAAAAATTACAAGCTCGGCCGAGCTGGCGTTAAGACTGCCCCAAGCCACCGGGGTCCCCGACGCTATCGTCGAAAGGAACATCCTCCGGCATGTCTACGTCTAAATCCTTGGGGTGCGAGGTAAAGGGATCCGCCTCGACCCCCAACCCGGGGTGGCACGCCCGGAACCGGCCCAGGGCTATCCGGTACCCGTACTCGTAAGTGACTTGCCCCGACCGAACCAGCCCGAGTTGGAAGCCGGGGGATTGCTTGTAGGCTTCAATTATTTCCTTCTCCTTCTCCGGCCGTCGCTCCCGCTCAGCCGCCAAGGCCTCCGAGGCCCCCTTCGCGTCGGCCAAGGCTCCCTCAAGTCGTTGGGTGAGGGCGGCCACCTCGCCCTGGGCCAGGCGAGCCTCGGATTGTGCCCCCTCTAGGAGTCCTCGAAGGTCGTCCCTCTCCTCTTCAGTCGCCTTCGCCTCGGACCTTAGGCGCAGAACCTCGGCCTCAGCTGCCCCTGCCTCGGCCCGGAGACGCGTCACCTCCGCTTCGAGCTCCGAAGAGCGCTGCTCGGCCGCCGCGACCACCTCAGGGGCCGCCCCCGCACGAGCCTCCTCGAGCTGTTGGCATAGCTCGGCGTTGCGATCGCACAGAACACCCAAGGCCCGACCAGAGTCACGAACGCGATCCGCCAACGCCATGGCATAGTGCTGGCCCTGCAGAAGAGAAGTTCAGAACCTTCGGCTGCACTATGGGCCGAAAGACAAGCAGCGGAGCACTCACCCACAGCAGCGACTTCGCGGACTTCTCGAGCAGAACATCGGACGGTAGAAGGTACATTTCGCGGGCCAGATCAGGATGCAGCCCCCCTCGGACAAACGTGGCCGCGGTCTCCCCATCGGCCCACACCCGGGTCCCGCGGGTCAGCCCCGCCCAGCGGGCTACCAACCGGTCAGAAGGCTGGCCCTCAG